CTCTCTCTCTCTCTCTCTCTCTCATGCAATGAATATCATGTGAAGTCTCGACTGTTTTTGTTGAAAAATAAATTTTTAATGTGTTTTTCCAGACATTTATTTTATTTATTATGCACGTATATCAAATAACAATATAATGTATTAATGTATTTATCTAATAAAGTAAACGCGTAACATGGGAAAAATATTTACATTGTTTTATTTAAGGGCATCTAATAAATAATTTAAATTATAAAATTGCATTAATTAAGTAGATGATTAATTAAACATATTTTCTAATGAATATTAGAGATTTTGAGTTATATAACAAACATTGAATGGGTGATTTATTATATTTTGCTTTTTTATAATAATCAATAAAATTTATAAAAAACATTAGCATCCTGCTACAATTATAACGAGTACTTAAAATAAGCACTTAAAAATTAACCCTACTTATAAATATCTTAATTATTTCTATTAAAAACACTCAAATACTACACTTAAGCACCATTAATCCTATTCAATATTAATTTATCATGCGCCTTTTAATATTAGAGTTATGTTACTATAATGTTAAAAAATAATATAATTAATATAATGTAATAAATATTTTGTAAAATAGTTTTTAAACTTATTTTACAACTTATAAAATAACAAAATTTTAATACAATTTATTAATTATAATAATAAATTAATATAAATGTATATTAATTAAGGAAACAATAAATATTACCTAAAAACAATTGACAGAATAATTAATTTTATAACCTTGCACACGTATTGACAATCGTTCAATCAATATATGGCATCCCGCTAATTCAGTACAAAATAATTCATACAATTTTACGCCTATTACCAAGGACATTAAGTGTAAACGCATTCAGTGAATTATGTATTACCATATAATGAGCACTTCATGTAATAGACAACAATTAATGTTAAAAATACTCATATTGTCTATCGATTAATATTGTTATATATGTCTCGAAAATACTTCAAATTTATTTTTATATTATATATTATATATTTGAAAAGTTTATTATTATTAATAATTCTGTATAAATGCAAAAATATATTCTTATCTCACGTTTCCTATTCTTAATAGTGAAGTACCCTCTCATAGCAAAGTGTATACGGTACTTGTATAAATATATTAAGTTATATGACATGATAAAAAATATATATATATAAAGTATATAAAAATATTCCGCGAATAATATAAACACTTATGATATTGATTTGTTTGCAAGCAAAAATAAAATTTTATATCAAAAGTATTTTATAATTTTATGGGTAAGAAATATAACTTATTTTATTTTATTTTTTGTAGTTTGCATATAATATTCATTTAGCATTTAATAATATATTATATAAATATTTTAATGGATTTTTAAAAGATTTATTATTATATGCGAATTGTTTTTATTATTGTTCACAATATACATATCATAATATATTATATGAAAGTATTTTGCATTTTTGTTTTTCATTTACTTTTTTCCCATTATAAAAGTCTTTAGTTTTATATTACGATTACATTTATTTGCGATGAAAAATGCTAATATATTTTTATACATATTAAGCCAGGCTTTAGTTATATAATACTACAAGTAAAATATGTTTTATAAATTGATTTCCAGATTATTATTTTAAAATCTTTTTCTATCATTACTATCGTTGTTATTGTCACTTAAAAAGTTGACATAAAATACAATTAATTATTATTTTCTATATACATATTATTTCTCATTAAGAATCGTATCATTAATTATATCACAGAATATTCGCCAAGAATTACATAATAGTCTGCAAACAAAAAGTTGTTTTTATTTTTTATATATTTTTTAAACAAAGCATTATATTAGACATAAAATACTATTGATTAATATATTATACTAGTACACTATATTAAGAGATAATAACACATTAACACCAGTGCTATCACACAATATTGTTTGTATAGTGTACTTGATATACTAGCAATTGCGTGACATTATATACAATTCACTGTATTATAATGGGTATACTGTATTTAACAGGCTATTTATCTCAATAATCATAATTCACCAAGGTCGTTAGCTCGCACACTGAATATATAAACTTAATATTAAGTATAGTATTTTAAATAGTCTATTTCTACATATGAATATACAGTAGACTAGTTAATACACTACTTATTGAGTAGGTTTTAATACCGGTGTTAAAAACCTTTTTTCGGTTAATACAGTGAAAAGGTTAACGAGTTTTTGATAGTGCCTAAAAATATACATAAATATACTGGCTATATATATTATATATGTATTAGGAAAAGGGTAAGTATTTTAACCTTTTTTACTATTCATTTCAATGGCTATAAAAATTGTTGTTCAGTAGTAAGAAAAGATTTTGCAATTCATGTGTTATTTCTATTTGTATACTATATTTAGAGGGAACAGTAGATTTTTGGCATATATGCTTTTTATAGATTTAATATTACGTGGATTAATATTTATTGCTCTCTCTCTCTCTCTCTCTCTCTCTCTCTCGGCGAAAATCACATGAATATTCATTTAAAATTTCTAACAAAATACAAAAATAACTTTCAAATGGCTTACGGCCCACCTACCTGTGCATAAATTTGCTATTTATATACAAGTAGCTACTGAATCGTAACGTGTAACGTAGACAATAATAGAAAATGTCATAAGAATTTATATACAGAATAATAATAAGAATTTTTAAAATACAAAAATATCATTGTTTTTACAAAACAAAACTTTTATTAAATCTATTGACAGCTCACAGAATATAACTAATATTTATCGTAATAATAATAATAATACCTATCATTGTGTGATATAAAAACAAAAGCTAAACACAAAAACTTCTTACAATATGTTTGAATCGCTTTTCATAAGACTAGTAATCAATCATAAGATTCAATAGAAATGTTTGCAAAGAGTCTCTCTCTCTCTCTCTCTCTCTCCACTCATTGTCATTATTACACTATATTTATCTCAATATTAAGTTATCGTATCATAAAAATCTGTTTTATATTGAATGTACTGTATATCTATATTACGTGTTGTATAGTATAGTTAGTTAAACGATAAAATTTATTATGTATTTGTTTTGTAGAGAGAGAGAGAGAGAGAGAGAGAGAGAGAGAGAGCACATAATTGTTATACAGAATATAACATTATTCTCATTGTTATTGCATTTAAAGGTAGGTGGGCCGTAAGCCATTTGAAAGTTATTTTTGTATTTTGTTAGAAATTTTAAATGAATATTCATGTGATTTTCGCCGAGAGAGAGAGAGAGAGAGAGAGAGACTAATAAATATAATAATTTTAATTAATCAATGCATTTATCTATAAACCATATCAAAAAATATTAACTTTTTTGAATACAATATACCAATGTTATTAAATACACAGAATGTAATATTTACCTATAATAGTATATTTATATTTTGATATGCAATTTGGCAGGTAATAAACTTTTTGTAAACATGGTATTATATTTAATTAAACATTATATACAAAAATAGATACCCTAATAAATAGATATATTAAATATCACATAAAAATATTTTTTGTTAGTCATTATAATTGCAAGTAACCTGTCATTCAGTCGTAAATATTAACCAAACTAAAGGTAAACAATAATTTTTATAAAAACACTAAAATTTATTATTATCTATCAATACTTTTTTGTAGTATTATATAATTTACATTTACAATAATAATAGCTATTTATTATAATTACAATAATCATATTAAAATTCAATGAATAAATATACAATTTTAAAACCTACTATAGTATTGTACAGAATATTCTGGATATTCTGTATACTGTACTATACTAACAGGTATTACACAGTAAAATATAAATATAATACAGTTTACTACTGTACTAACATCATTAGGGGTCAGAAAAATATCTAATAATTTATATTTTATTAATCATTACAACAAAATATTACTTTTTTATGCACGATAAGCACAATATCATTTATAATACACAGAAAATAAAATAATTTAGTTTATATATTTTATTATACAAGGTATAGTACAGTGCACAATATGTGTGTATATAACGGAATATAATAAAAGTTATTGACCAAAATTAAATGATCATTGTCATAAATTACATTTATGGCTCTCGTACCCACATTTATATAAACACACTAGATTGTGCCCGGTCATTATATTATTGTACTATGTGTGTCAATAATAACTCATGACTGGGCCCTTGGAAATCAATTAGTCTGCAAAATGCATCAGGCACATACACGTACATTAAATAAATATAATAATCATAATTGTGTTCAGTAAGTATGGCCGATTATAAAATAGAAAATTTCTATATAAGTCAATACTTTACTCACGTAGGTACTTTACAAATATTACTTGCATGAGGTATCAGGGTACCAAGGTATCAGGGTATTATATTGTTATTACGTCAATTGTCTATTATTAAAAATAGTATTATTTATAAAAATATATTTTTAGTTACATTTAATAAGCGGATTATATTGTAATAGGTTTATAAATTACAATATAATTGTTTATTGTTTACTGATATTGTGAGCTTGTTACAAAATAATTGGTTTGACATTTTTAAGCTGGTTACTTTTCTTTATGTATAACTTTATTTTCAATATAATTTATAAGGCTTAGCCATACCTGATGTATTATGAAACTAACCTAGTATATTGTGAGATATAAATTATTAAAGAATTTATTCAAGTGTATAATAAGTTTTAATACTACTAAATCTTGCTAGGTACTTATCAATTATTTTTACGCTATTATAAATTAATATAAATAAATTCGCATCCTGTTGCTATTATATTGATATTTATTAAATTACAGTATATCTATAAATTCTACTCGAGCAAACAATTTTAATTAGGCAAAACTTTTTTATATGATACCACCTTGCTCACTGCGAGCAATGAATTTATTTCATAAGCTTTCACAATTAAATGAATACCTCTATGTTTATTAGTCACATATCATACACTACTTCACTGTATAATGCATTTTATGATATCTCTCACCGAAAAACTGTATTAATATATAGTATAATAGCAATACAATTGCCGAGAGAGAGAGAGAGAGAGAGAGAGAGAGAGAGAGAGAGAGAGAGAGAGAGAGAG